AAGTGGGAGGGGAGCTGTTGCACTGTAAATTTTGGTCAAAGACATGAGACAAAGTATATGTGAACTGTTGTATCAAAAGTGAATTTACTCTGTAAATCTTCACCCAAATCAAAATAAAAATTAAAAAAAAAAAGGGTTGGAAAGGTGCTTTGATGAAGAACGGCTTTGCTCTCTTTCCAGTATCATACAGAAAAGGAGGTCCCATTCTCAATGAGCTGATGCTTCTGAAGAGGGCTATTCTCTTTCTACAGACAGATCTGGTTTTGTTTCTGAATCTGATTTATAACAATTTCTAATTTCACAAGTAGGAAAATTTTCTAGGAGAGTTAAGGCACAGTAATCATTTGAAAGTCAACCATATTGTTCATCACAGCCTGGGTGGTTGTCTATTCTCTCTCAGGTCCCTGGACTCAGCAGAAACCTGAGTACAGTAAATGTTCCTCAGGTCACTCTCTTCTTCTTAGTGTGTGGGATGCAGCTAATGTAAACACAGTACCTTATTAGATTCAGCTTGGGCTCTCACTGTTTCTGTTTTGGTTGGAGAAGAAGAGGCATCCATGGCTTTCAGGACTTCCTCTTTTGATTCCAGCCATTGTAGCACCGAGCTTGCCTCCTTCTGAACTTCCTGCATTCTGCCGAGCACAGCCTGAAGGCTCTCCTGGCGTTCCCGAAGTACTCCGCCCAATTTTTCATACTTCAAGTTTACATCTGACATGTCACACTGGATTTCCGTCAGATCTAGTATTGCACAAACAGAAATCAGACTGGGACTAGCTCTTGAAGCACCTCCTTTGGTGCCTCACTCCTAAATTACTTGTCAGGATTAGGCATTTCTCCTATTCCTTCTAGGGAACTAGAAATTATTTTCCTAGTAAGTAACATAAAATTTCATGTATATATATATACAAAGCAAAAATGCTTACATTAATCTGCTTCCTGATTTTGGCATTATATACTCAGATGTTCACTTTAAAATGCTAAATAAACGTGGCAGAGCAAAAGTGAGGGGAGTGAGAAGGAATTCAACTTTAGCACAGTGTTGGGAGCAATGGATTTGGGCATTTCCTTCCTCTTCTTAATCTGTTCCCTTTTCTCCAAACTACAGAGAAGTCACCTCAGAGAGGCTGAGGGCTAGACCAGATTACCTCTAGTATAGGCCACTTTAAACTCTAAGATTTGTGTATATTTTCTTCAAGGTCTTTCTTTACTGGTCTTTTCTAGCAGTCCACTCTATTTCCTCAGTACTTTTAGTTTCACCAGCTGACAATCTGTTTAGCCTATAACCAGCAAACAAAGAGGCATCACAGTTGCTTCTCCCAGGTTTTTACCCTCACACCCATCCTGGCAACAGTTCTTCACACATATAGCAACATACACAGATCCACACAGGAACACTGTCCTAACACACCGCACTGTTGAAATGGCGTTCTCACCTTTGCAGGTGTGGTATCCGTTTACACTGCCTACAGAGCTTCCTACAGAGGGCAGTATGGAACCTGAGCAGAAGGACAGGGAGACAAACAGGGCAAGACAAACGTGTTAGGAATACAAAGAGGCACTGAATTTGTTCTTTGGCACTCACTTTAAGCTTGGGTATCAAGAAGTTAAGACAGCACAAGACAACATACTCATGGAAAGAGACAGATCATTTCAGCTGCCAGACAACAAAGTGTCATTCAAGTCGAGAGACAGCTCCTTAGGAGCGGTGACTATTAATCCTTTCTAGAATAAATCCAAATTCTCTTCTTAAATTTACAACTTGAATTCTTTTGACCCTGCCCTAATTTTTTTGAAGCAAGTATGGGTAACATAATTGAGCTGTTAGAATGATATCTACCACATATTGAAATGAGAATTAAAAGAAAGACAAGAAGGTTCACCTTTAATATTAAAGTCCTTCAACATAATAAAAATGAACAGTAAGTACAATTAAGGACATAAAAGCAGCATTCTTTTAATAAAGACATAAAATAAGCTTGTTCTTGAAAGAAGGATCTCTGCCTTTCCTCTCACGACCTCTCCCTGTTCCCCTCCCTCCACCAAAAATAGAAATTCAAAGTGCCAATAAACATGCACACAAACATTCTCAGAATTCTGCTTTGGGACTTTTCTGTCTCTAATTACCATAATTTCACTTATATTTTCCCTGCATCGATTCTTTGTATTTCAGCAGTTTCCCAATAAGTAAAAACAAAACAAACAAAAACTACATCATATAATTATAAAGATTATACATAAATCAGAAAACTACCCAGGCTATAATGTTACATTAAAATGATAGAATAAAATTCTCATGTCCATTAATTTCACTGTGGAAAAAGTCATGTGGCAGGGCTATATTTAAAGCACAGTTATTAGAATGGTGATGATAAAATAAACATTTTATATTTTTAATTATTGTTGTTGTTGTTGTTATGTGCCGTCGAGTTGGACCCGACTCATAGCGACCCCTCCTTGAGTTTCCGAGGTGGTATCACTATGGAATTAGGAAGCCAAACAGAAAAATCATATTCCACTGAAGTGTGGTGATGGCAAAAAGAAAGTAGACTGGTAATTAGGAGAAGAAGGTCCTACCCAAGACTGTCACTAGCTCAAAAGCCGAGCCTTCATCTATGGACAGACCTCATTTTCTTCTCCAGGATATGAAGATAGTAATTCCCAACCTGTCAACTCTCATGGGGCTAATAGAGAGAGGTAATGAGATAATGTACGTAAAAGCACTTTAGGAAACAAAAAGAGCTACAAAAATGTAAGTAGCAAGAATACTTACAGTTTTTTACAATTTGATGGGAATATCCACAGTACCTAGGCTAGCTAGGGATTTTCAAAGCATTCAGAAGTGGGTGTTAGGGATTCTGTACATATTTGTTTAAATGTAATATTGAGAATATATTTCCAACTACTTAGAAATGGCAATAAACATGCACATTCACTTATGTTAACTACATTTTAACCAACTAGATACAACTAGTTTATGCTGTCTTTTGGGGAAGAATAAAGTGGCTTCTGCCATCTCTGCATGTATTTAAAATTCTTTTTGAGTGTCACTGACTAGAATGGTTGTGGCTGGCACTTGACAACATTCAAATCCATACATGTACACTTATGTATAAATTAAATGACAAAAAAAAGGCTGCGGTACACCTACTCAGAGCAAGCTCTCATCAAAGCAGCAAAGTATACTAATAGAATTCTAACATTCAAGTCATGATAATGACAGCTTTTATCCTCAATGCCTGTTTAAAGTGTTTTTATATTTAAGAAAAGAATATGAGTCCTTATTAGATATTCTTAGTGATCTAACTTTGAAACAATAATTTATTAAAGTACTTTCAAGCTTCTGGCTCAGTTTAATCAGAGTATTCCAAGATTGTAAAATCAACTTTTAAAAACATATAATTTACAACTACTTAGCTGTATGAGCCATATTTTACAGATGCAATGAAACCAAGTAAAACTCAGAAATAAATCAGATGGTGAAGCTGTCATCCAATAATCTCCCTTCCCAAAGTTTTATACTCACATAATACAGAAATACTATAATACACTTATAAGAGAAATTTATGCAAAAAATATTTTTTTGTTCTTTGAGATTTAGTTTAAATAACAAACAAAAAAGTTCTAGAATCTGCTTTTGAAAGTTTGCAAAACCACTGAGCAAGTCCAAGAGCCAGCTAACTACAGCCTACTGGCCAAATTTAGCCCTCTGTTTCTGTTTTATTAGAACACAACCAAACCCACTTACTCTATATTGTTTACAGTTGCTTTTGTGCCACAATGGCAGAGTTATGTAGTAGTAGCCAAGACCATATGGCCTGACGACCTAAAATGTTTGCTGTCTGGCCCTTTATGGAAAGTTTGCCAACTCATGATCTAGTCACACACTAATTCACTGACTTCACAGGCTTGGACTATAAGAATTATCAATCCCCTAAAATGTTGTCACTTCTGGATAGTCCCAAGATATACTTTAGGATACTACAGAATAGCATCCATTCTCAGAAGGGAAAAACCATTTTTTTTTTTTAACCAATTTAAGTGACTATAGGAGTGAACCAATACAGTCTGGTAATAAAACCTATGAGACTCCAATTAACAATCAGCAACTAATTGTGAACTTATATTGGCTTGTATTTGAAAGACTTGAGTTTCTAGCTACAGGGTATTCTTACCTCTGAGCACAGTCTTTATGACCCCTTCCAAGAAGTATGCCAATCCCTGCCTGGTATACTGATACTGACTCTAAAGTACCTAGCTTTCTCCCTGTACATCGCACTCTACAGAGCCAGGGCTGATTCAGTTTAAGACGATGTATATTCAACCCATTCACATGTTTAAAAGAAATTCTTGAACGAATTTCTTGAATGAAAAACCATTATTTTACTTGGAAGGGATGTAGGAGATCCTGCATAGAGAGGGA